ACTCGGAAGAATTCATTTATGTGATGATGGAATTTGACTTCTATAACTGTGGAAGTTGCATAGTTTTAAGCTTTAATTTAAGCAAGAGGCATGCTGTTTATAGTCTTTATACAAATTTTAATTGAGTATCAACTTTCATGCATGTGCATGGGTCTAATAGACCCGTACAACAAAAGGGATACATGTACCCACATAACCATTCACAATGCAATGTATTATGCTTGGCAACAATTGGTCTTTGAAAGTGAATTCTTTCTGAAAAGGAAAAAAAATAATATCTCAGGTGCATCCATGTGTAATGATATAACCATTATCATTCTTTCTGATTGTTCTTGGTACCTTTGGCAGGAAAGGTGTATCGGGATATAGTCGGGAGTGCTTACTATGTTGCTCCTGAAGTATTACGTCGTAGATATGGAAAGGAAATTGATATTTGGAGTGCAGGAGTTATATTGTATATCTTACTCAGTGGTGTGCCTCCATTTTGGGCAGGTAAATTTTAAAGCGTGCTCAAAGAAAATAATATCATCAATTGCCTAAATCTACGCTGTCACTTTACTAAATTGCCTTCATAAGTGCTACTTTAATGTTAGTAAATAATTTAATGAATGTTATTCTTGTTAGAAACGGAGAAGGGGATATTTGATGCTATTTTGGAAGGAGAACTTGACTTTGAAAGTGAACCGTGGCCATCTATTTCAGACAGTGCCAAGGACCTAGTTCGCAGGATGTTAACACAAGACCCAAAAAAGCGGATTACTTCTGCTCAAGTCCTAGGTACTTATGAAAGTAGTTTCTTCTGGCTGGGAAATTGTAGAAGTAGTTAATCTCTGGCATTTCAACCTGTACGTCTTATTCATCTGCCATGCATCCTGGCATTTCATCATGTATATGTGTTAAAGGAAAATAAGTTATAACTATGCAAAATTACGTTCTATATCTGTGTGTGTTTTATTCTACCACATCATGCTTGGCATACGAGTTACTGTAATTTGTTTCAAGCCCAATCCAGAGTTGAAATGTTGTGGTTTATGCAGAGCATCCATGGATAAGAGAAGGTGGAAGTGCATCAGACAAGCCACTAGACAGTGCGGTCCTTTCTAGAATGAAGCAATTCAGAAGAATGAACAAACTAAAGCAACTTGCCTTGAAGGTAAGTTTAAATTTATTTATATGGTATCATTGTTTCTGAGATTGGTAGTAAGAGAGAGATAGGCATTTGATTCATTAGTCATGAGATATGTGTTATTTGATATACGAGAGCAAATTAGCAATTCATTTTGCAATATCCAGTTATTCCATCATTAGTGTGTAATTCGACTTGAGCAACTTTACTTGCCATCTAACAAGAAGCCTGGTGGATTATAGGTCATCGCAGAAAATCTTTCTAAAGAAGAAATCCAAGGTTTGAAGCAAATGTTTGCAAACATTGACACTGACAACAGTGGCACAATCACCTATGATGAACTTAAGACTGGATTAGCTCGACTCGGATCAAAGCTCACAGAGGCTGAAGTTCAGCAGCTGATGGAAGCTGTAAGATACTATTTAAATCTATAATATCTAGGTATTTTTTAATTTATATCATACATACTAACCTTGGTTTAACCCTGGGTTATGTTGCAGGCTGATGTGGATGGAAATGGTACTATTGACTACATTGAATTTATCACTGCTACAATGCACAGACACAGGCTTGAAAGAGATGAACATCTGTACAAAGCTTTTCAACATTTTGATAAGGACAACAGTGGGTAAGTTTTCTGTCTTAACACTGAAGATAATTATACTCATTCTTTTTTCATGCAATTCTCCATTGCTGGCGCTGGCAAGACATCACACTTGATCACAATGCCATATTTGATCTTTTCTTGGTATATTGAGTTTTGCTTTAGTTTGGTAGGTATAAACGTGCTATAGCATTTTAGGCTAGTAGACATACTCCATAATTCCAAGTTTCGTGTGAATTAGATAAGATTTGGCTGTTGTGAATTAGTCATATTTGAGGTACATTATATCAATGACACGGGACCCTTAATTAACCATAATTCTGTTCGTATCTTTTCTTTTTCTGCCAGAATTAACCATTAAATCAGTATGGCAGGAGTCAATGACATGTTTGAAACTTATTGCAGGTATATCACAAGCGATGAGCTAGAAGCTGCCATGAAAGAATATGGAATGGGTGATGATGACACGATCAAGGAAATAATATCTGAAGTTGACACTGACAATGTAAGCCGTTTTCTACCTTTTGAAGCACATTTTCTTTGCGGCATGACGTATCAGTTCTTACTTATGCCTTGTTTACAGGATGGTAAAATCAACTATGAGGAGTTCCGTGACATGATGAGAAGTGGAACCCAACAAGGGCAACTCTTTTAGAAATATATATGACTGCACTCACAAAAATCAGTAGAAATTTCCCAAACATAATGCACAATGGCTTTAAGAGATCTTGTAGGTCTTCATTACATAACTTTGTCTGGTTTGGTGTTTCATTTCGAGTATAACATATTGCATGTAGCTTTTTACTTACATTTTTTGGTGAATCTTGTGCCTGATACATGACGGATTTTGAGAGGAGAGATTTTTTAAGCTAGAAGCTTGCTTATGTTTTTACTTGTCCTCAATTCTGGTTTCCCAAAGTGTGAAACTCAATCCTTGAGCTCACAGCAATGTTGATATTTACTATGAATAAAAGTGTGGGGCATACCAGAAGTTGGCCCAAGAGTAAATGAATGTTGCCACCATTAATGGCCTCTTAAAAACTTCATAAAACCTTATCCGGTGTTTCAGTTGCTCAAGCTTGAAAGGGTTTTAAGGAAAATTTTCATACAATTCATTAATAAGAGTCTATCCAGCAGTATTTTCCAATTTGGATCAACTATTGAATATCTGTTAGTGGGATCACTAGTACCCTCGTTGCCTTCAATTTCATCCATATCCAACATAGATGAAAAGCTGAGGCAAACCACACGAAAAGTTCCAGCATCTACCGTGGATTTTCTTTTCCAGGATCAGTGGCTCAAAGCTCTGTCCTAGACAGGGTCAAAGTCCAACCTAAAAGACAACCATGGTTGCAAAAGGGTAATTAGGCCGAATAGACAATCATAAGTATGGCATCAGTTTTAACCAATTGTCCAACTTTGAACACAAGGGAAAGGCAGCGAGACAGAAATAAAAGACAAAGATTGAAACTAAGCGAATAAAATCCAGCATTATTGATGAAACTCCAGCATTACATTCCATTATCCAGGAGGTGAATAAACAGGAATAAAAGAGACAGCCTAGAAATTTATTTCAGAAAGGTTATAATTCATAACAAGACAGCAATAACTTCACTTCCTTAAAAGCCATGAATCTTGATTTGATCCTTCTTCACGATGCCAGCATTAACAAGGAATTGTGAAACGTTTTTGCGCTGATCACCTTGGAGTTGAATGATTTTGCCAAGCTCTTTGTCATTCACAACATTCCCATTACAACAGAACTCCTTTTTGAGACTCTTGAGGATCTTCTCGTAGCTCAAATCTTGTTTCAGTCCTTGAACTGTTGTCAAGCTTTTCTTTCCATTCCTCTGTTGAATTCGTATGTGCACATAATCTTTGGTTCCAGTCCCACCAAATTCCCCAGCCTCAGCAAATGGATCGAAACTAGTAGGGATCTGGATGTCTATATCAACCATGAACTTGGCTAAGTAGAAACTTGGAACAATCTACGGATGCTTGTTTGTTTTCTTGAGCACTAGTACTGTAAGAATAAACAAATCTTTGAATTGTTACAAATCAACAAAACCAGTTCATCTTTCAAACAGAAGAATACCAAGACCTTGAAATCCATATATTCACCAAAATTTGAATCAAAATATCATTTCCAGTTAGTATAAATCATATATAGATACTAAATTAAACCAATTACATGAACAATCCAACTTTTCTTCAGAGCTAAAAGAAAATCACCAAATTCAAAAAAACTAAACATGTTTCCAAAAGAAGGAACAAGAATCAGACCCATGAAGCCTCAAACAAAGAAGAAAAACAGAAGAGACCCCAGAAAAGATCACTCATAACATAACAAAAAAGACATGCTAAAACAACTTCAAGAAACAACAATACGATAATCAAACACGACAAACTAGGAAAACAAGGAGAAAGACAAACAGGGTTTGTGTCAGAAACCGAACCTCGCCTGAAATCAGGAAACTTGTTCTATTCAATACGATGTGAAAATAAAGTTGACAAGGGGCTCTTTATATAGGAAGCTGAAGGGCGGTTCAGTCCCGCGCGGAATAGGAACCGTGGTTAAGGATGTGTGTGGATTGGTCCACATGGATGATGTGATTAGAATCTTGATACGTGGAAGGTCAAGATTGTTTTAGAATTTTTAGTTGGAATAATAAAAGCGTGGCCTTCACGCGTAACAAGAGAGCCCCCAGCTTGGAGTCTGATGGAAAAAGAACAAAGGGGAAGAATCTGGAAAATTAGGGGAAAAAAAAATATGGTCCAAAGTTCATCCAAATCCAATGGGAATGTTTTTGAACCTTTTGTCAAATCAAAATAGTGGCTACCCAATCAGATGCTCGGCAAGTTGGACTCTTGTTACCGTTGCTTGCTTGTGCTTTTTGATTAAGTAATTGTTGGTAGGTGATGTCATGGGAATATTCAAGAAATTTATTTATATAATGGGCAGTTTTTAACACATAAAAAAGATAATTTGAAAAATTACATTTTATAATTACCAATTACCAAAAGTCATAAAATAGTGATATCTAAGGTCCAAAATAAAATTAAGCTCGTAAAATCTAATAATAATATTTACATCATTAATAACAATACGATATAAAATTATAAAATTTTATATTACATATTTAGATATTAACAATATATATTTTAATTTACCTCTTATTTTTTTTATTTTATCACTTAATCATCAAAATGTGTTTCAAAATTTAAATTTTAATACTTATAATTGCTTTTGATTTTTGGATAGATCTATCATTTAGGACGGACAACATCTGCATATAAACCTAATATCATCATGTCTTAATTAACTTTCCCTTTTTTTCCCTTTTAGATGAAAAACCTTTAAAACAACACTTATTACTTTGTTTTTTCTTTCAAATAGAGCATTATGGCTTATTATATGCTTCAGCTCAGAAAATATTTTGTATTCATTATCAACAGTAAAAAGTTGCTACCAACATATAGTTTTAATAATTTCAGCTTCTACTAGTTTTTGTTTTTAATATTAAAAAAATTAGTTTAGGAAAATTAATGACAAGATTTGACCATTTGGTACTTTAGGGGAAACTCCCACAGCTGTTTATAACAAAAGCACCACTTTTAATAACACTTAATAGCTGTACAAAAGCTTTCAAAGCAGATCAAAAGAGTGACCTTCTTAAGAGGAAACAACACAAAGATAATCCTCTTCACTAAAATTTAGCTATGGAACACAACAAGCAAATTGACTGGGGATTGAAATCTTTAAGTACTCGGGCACCTATTATTATGCTACAAAAATGACAATACCAAAAATTTTTAACAGGTAAAAAACCACATGGGATCTGAAAGTTATGAGCTTGCCTCATCTGGTAAGCGCTTGAGGTCCATCTCGACTTGCTGAATTGTCCATTGCATGTTTTCCAGTTTCTGTAAATAAATGGTGATATTAATTTTTGTCAAACGAACTTTAGTGGCAACTATTTTGTTAGTTGATGTTACCTTCACAATAACATGGTACTGCCTCGCAATTGTATCAAAGTGAGGATCAACACCTTGATACTCAAGCAGGCGCATCACCTGTTTTAAAAGTTGTAATATGAGTTGATATTGAGAAATACAAGAAAGTAGCAGAGCTTGAACAAGCACAATGGCAACGAACATCAAAACAGCAATAGCCAGGAGTTGGCTTCGCAAAATTTTCTCCTTCGAGGTGGAGTTAGGATCATAGTTTAAAAAATACGCATAGTTTGTAATGCAAAATGATGTATATTCTAATCTAATAATTGACAGTCAAACTAGAATAATGATGGAACATACTGCTTTATTATATGCAGCAGAAGCTTCTTCTGTAGCCTCAAGAAGATATTTCCTGGCAACAAAGTGAGACAAGGTTATAGCCAATATTAAACCATAATTTGCACCAATAATTATGTGCATCACCCTTTAAAGTACCTTATTTTATGTAATGCTGGTATCGATTCCTGTGTATAAGTTTCAAGCAAGAGAACATACTCCAATACCCTGAAATAATAAATGCACATAAGACAGGCAATAGTAAAGGAACAGCAAGAGTATGCCGTGCAGGAGAATATATCACAACAAAAATAAATGCATACTCTTATGCTATTTCCATATTCTTTACGACAAATAAATAAAAGAAATACTAAACAACATGATGGCAGAGGAAACAATCCAAACATAGCAAGTAAAATGAGCGCATCGAACCTTAATTTTGCGTTCATGGTCTCACATTTTTTACAGAGCCATTTTTGCTGTAATTCATCCTATAAAATTTGTAAAAGACAAGTTCAGATATAAGTCCAAGGAAGAAAAATGAAAAACATAATGAAACCCCCCACAGATACCAATATTATCATTTACTTTTACTACTGAAAACATTAAAAGAACTCCATGAGCATAATGCTTACATATTTATGTTGATGTTGCAACTTCAAATCTTTGACAAGCTTAATGAGCACTCCAAGTATTTGTTCTAGGACCTGTCAAGAGAATTTTTTTATGTCACATGTCATGCAAACAAAACAAATCCCATTCCGAAACATGATATCATTCACAAAAAAACTTCTGGTGAGAAGAAAACTATTTTATTGGTCAGATGAGGATAAAATCTGATAAAACAAACTGTCTCAATCTCCTATTAATTGCCTAATTCACCTACATTATAGTATTCTGTAAATTTCCTATCTGCTGAATAGAGATCCTCACGCAAAGCTGCTTCTTCCTTTTCAATCTCCTCAATTACCAACTTAACCCTGGTAAATGAAATATTAATAAGACATGATCAAATCAAGCATATAGTTATACCAACCACATCAAAAGAAGTAGAGAAGGTAACTAAAACCTTTCTGGAAGCCGAGAACTTAAACTTTGACTTTCAGAAGATGAATCTGCAGAACAACAAGAATGGTATTATTAGACACATAAATATTCCATAAAGAAAATATGCCTAATGTATTGGTGACCACATTCTAACTTCGTCGCAGTTAGTTAATCTAGGCCTTTTGACTTTGCAATAAAATGTGGACAACAAGATCTATGGACTGGTGTGACAAACCATAATGAATTTAGGGACAGAACATTAGGAAGGAAGTTTGAATTGTTTCCAGACAACATGCTAAAACAGTAAAACACACAGGCATATATAAACTACAATGCAAGTACATATGAAAGGCAAAGGATACATGAAATTACCAATATCATCAACAAAGGCATCTGATAACTTGTCACATTTAGATTTCAAGCGAGCATTAATCTCCCTTGAAAGAGCTAACTGATAGTCAGCCATATCCTAAATCGCAAAAAAAATTTTAGAAATGTACCATGTTTTTGTAAGAAGGTTCATCCATTGTACATGACTATATCTTATAACAACAGAAGAAAGGACCTCATTTCTAAATAAGATTCAGAGAAGATTTTTAGAACAAAAACTTTCAGACTTCCATCTGCCATCATGAAATAAAGTTGTCATACCAATGACAATGGTACCCGTTGGAGCTGAGTTTGCCACAAATAAGCAGGAGTTATTCCAAGAAAGCGATTAGGCACATCACCAACACCAGGTTCTCCCGAAATCACCACCATTATTTGCTACTCCACCACTGGTTGCTGCACTATTTGCATAAGTCAATGAATTCGAACTCAAGCTGATAGTGAGACTGGTGCTAGAACTATCGAGTGAACTCCGTGACATTATACTCCATTTCTCAATTTCTTCCTCATGAATTTCCCCATCTTTAGATACAAGTGGAAGTCTCAATCTTTAAGCCGCTTCTGCAATAACCAACCGGTGCTCTAGAGTCTCATAAACCTGAAGTTCATAAAACATAGCATATTCCCAACCATTAAGACACTGTTTTGTTATCGCTTTTGCTACTTATTTTTCACAATTTGCTTTTTCCTTTTTAAAAAATAGTTATATGGGAGTAGTAATACTCTTAAAATGAAAAATAGCAACGGATTAAAATCGTTCAAATGATTAAAATATAACACTAGGTTTAACTCAAGTATTCTATATAAAAGTAAATCATACATGTTGCTATTTTTACTATCTAACTTGTTATGCCAACTTGTTATGCCCATTTACTCATTTAACGAAGTCAACCCTTTGGGTTGCCTAACTAACACACGTCCAACTGTTACGTCAACTCACTTTAAGCCCTCCCAAGAAGGGCTCGCCCAACATTTCCATTGATGTCCCATCAAAGTATCACTTTAGAACTAAACACTTGACTTTTAACTTGCCTGGATCATTAAATGAGACCCACATAAACCCTTCTCAAGCTTCACATAAACTCACCATCAACTATCAACTATCTCAGTCAAGTCACCCCCTTTCGTCTCACATATAAGGTGAAGAAGAGATCTAGGTATGTAAGACTCAAGCATCTTTCCCTCCATCTTAGCTTCTTACACACACCTTACCTTCTTTCTCCTCAAACCCTAAATACCTTACTGATTTAAGCATCGGAATACATCCCGGAGAACCAACTCCGGCGCCCCTGACCATGCTTTCTGGCTGCAAGTTCAGGCCATCTCACCTTCAATCTCTCACCAACTTCCTCCGACTAACATAACCCAAAAATATCACCAACATAAATCTTCAAAAATATCATTTGCACTTGCTTGATGCTTCCAAAAGAAATTCACATAAATCTAATTATCCAATAACTTTCTCATTTCACACAAAAAAAAAAAAAAAACGAAAACTTGATAAGCATAATGTCAAACCTGAGGAGAGTTATTCAATCCAAGCTGCGGATAAAGACCTTGAAGGTCTCGAATCCCTCCCAGATTCGCCACAGAAAGCGCTTGCTGATACTCTTCCACCATAGCTATTGCTTCACAGTAAATTGCCAGCAAAATATTAACACCAATTTTGACATTTTTGTTTTTCTTTTTTAAACATAATATCATATGCAAAAGGGAAAATTAATTCTTACAAAAATAATAATAAATTAAATTAGGTAATTACCATTGCTTCTAAGTAGCGAAATCTTTCTTTCAACATTTCCTCTCTCGCCTGGCAATCGAAATTCATTACATGATTTTAAAAAAGAAAATAAAAGTTCATCAAATCATTAAAAAAATCAATAGAGAATACGAGTTGGAGATCGTAGTAGGCGGATTTGGAGACGAGAGATCCATCGGGGGCTAAGCAATGGCGCTCTAGCTGATCGATTACTTGGATGACGTCAGCCGGCAAGTTTTGCCCCCCTTTCACCATGAATGGCTTTTGTTTGGCTTCGAAACGATGTAGTTTTCCTTTGCTTGTTTACCGGCAGAAAAAAAGAAAAACAAACTGAACGGGAAAAAGGCGCATTTGGACCTTTTTAAACTTGAAATGGAAGGAAAGGCTGTTATCGGAGGAATGAAAGTACAAAATTAACCCTCCATTTTTATGGAAGGGAAAAAAAAAGGTCATTTTCCAGTAATTTCTTCTCTTTCTCCGTGAAATTGTAAAAATAAAAAAATACGAAAAGATTTTGATGGAAAGAAGGAAAATTTTTAATTTTCATGATATTTAGGCATTGCAAATTTTTTTTTTTAATTTCTATTTGTAATTTGGAACTGAAGGAACAACAAGAATTGTTAATGTAAATTTATTATTTTTATTGACATTGTTGAAAAGCATCTATTTTTTATAATAATAAATTCGAATAATTTTAATTTTGATAATTTTAAATGTAAAAAAAATAATAATATTAAAACGATACAAAATGAAAATAACGATATTTAAATTTTTAATAAAAAAAAAATATATTTCATATTAAACTTGTGAATATAAATTATAATATAATAATTTTTATATTATATATATATATATGTGATATGAATTAAACATAATAAAAATACGTAAATTATCAAATTCATTACAAAAAGAACAAATAATAATAAGTCTTATGAGAGAGAGCACGGAGGGAGGAAGAAAAAGAGGATGGTGAAATCAAAGTAGTACTTATCATTATCATATATCATCATCATGCCATGCCAATTTGAAGCAATACCAGGGTAAATTCTCTTCATATTAGCATTTGACATTAACCAATCTAATGAATGATGTGAATTGGCACAATAGTAATTGAAAAAATAAAGGAAAAATTTTTTAAAAAAAAGAAAACGGAAAAGGAAAAACACCACCCTGAGAAGATCACAAGAGAATTGCCTATCTATGGAGATATCCACCAAGTCTCTGTTGGTTGCTTTACTTACCTCCTTATTAAGCCAATATGTATGTTATATATCTAAAAGTTAAACCTTTGCAGCCTATAGTTGAGGGAGAAGTTAAAGTTTCCCACGAAAAACAAGGTATTTAAGTATTTGTATAGTGTAAAATATAGATAATTTATATATTTATATTATATTTTATATAAAAATTATATATTATAATTTATATTGATATAAAAATATATAATATATTTTTTAATCTTATTAAATTTATTTATAATTTTTATTAAAATTTTAAATTATGTTATTTGAGATTATCAAATCTAGCAAGAACAAGCAGACTGGCAAGAATGATCCACATCAATGGCTGCATCTTTCTCTTAACCCTGTTGCGAAGAGGCGGGGGAATGGATTTTGCCTTGGTCTGCTTTGTGAATTGTGATGTGGCTTTTGAGGCCTTTTTGCGACTGTTGCAGGTTTCTCTTTTTTGTGGGATTCTTTTGGAGTTTCAGATCTCATTTTATCTGCAACACTTGCATCCACTGCTGCTGCTGCTGCCCCAACCTTTCTTCTTTCCTTTTCTTTGCCCCCTTTGCTTTCTTGATTTAGCAGCTTCCTCTTCCTTTTTCAAATCCTCTGCCTTCCTAGCCACTTCCTCTTCCTCCTTTGTTCTCTTTGGTTTTTCTTCTCCTGCCTACTCAATTTTATCTCTGCTAGAAGCAGCTGTTGAGCCACATGCTCGAGGAACAGATTTCACTGACTTTTCTGATTTACTTGTCGGATTCTTCTGCTTCACAGCCTTTGCCACAGGTTTACCGCCTTCTCAGCTTTTGCAAGCAGCAGTTTCTTTTGTGTTTGTTTTCCAAAGTTGAGCTAGGCACACTATGATCTTTGGCCACTCTTTCATTTACTATTTGTGTAATTACAGGTGGCTTTTAATCAGGATCAAGTGTACGGCCATCTAATATCCTCATATATTCTTTATGGAATTCATTATCGTTGTTTCATAATTCTAAATTTCTTCATTTGAACCATTCACTGTTTAGATATAAATATTATAAAAAAAATTTAATATTAAAGAAATAAAAAGAACGCACGGGCTCACTTACTTAATACAGAGATTTTGTAGCGCTTTTTGTCCCTTTCAAGGCCAAATCATTTGCTGCCTTTGCATCATTCTTGTAAAAGTATTTGTTCTACAGAATTTAAGCAAGAGTAGGGACAACATCTTTTTATGAATAATTTTATTTTAATTGTGTAAAAAAATAAAAAAAAACAGCTTGTTAGTTCATTAGGAATGCTTCCCAAAATTACAAGATAAAGCACGAAAAAAATCGAAAACAGTATTAAAGTAATTTTAGTATAAAAAATACAACTTAAAAGATAAAATACTAATAATGCATGATGCATCGTAAACTTGAGAAAAATTTAGATGAAATTCTTTAAGTGAAGTTTATAAATTTTTTTACTAAAAACGATTAAATAAAAATAAAAATTAAAAATTAAAATCGATAAATTAAATGATCTCGTTACATAAATTAAGTATAAAAAAATTTTAATAATTTTTTTTAAATAGATATTTTTAATAAAAATATTAATAAAATTTTTATCATTAAATAAGTATTGATTAAATTTAAATTATAAATAATTTTTTTAATTTTTTTTTACATATTATTGACCTTTATATATTATTAAAATTTTTATTAAATCATTTATAAAAAATTCACAAATTTTATTTTAAAAACTTTATGTAAGTTTTGTCCCATAAACTAAGTATAATAACTTCCACTTCTCATTGCTTTAACACTATGCTTCTACTAGTTGAATAAATTTCAATACATATATGCATGCCAAATTGTCTTTGTCGAATTATAAGTATTTGTGCTGAGCTTCGATCTAAAAGTATTCTTGAAAAGATAAGAAAAATAAGAGAGCGATTAGATGCAAAAATGAGAAATGTGCCTTATGTTTGCACTCGGATGCATAAATTAGAAATCAAAATAAAAGAGGTTAGAAAGAAAGAAAAATAAAGAAATAGAATAAGATGAAACTTGAAATGATAGTACCTGAATGTTTGTATTTATAAGTAAAAGACGAGAGACTCGTGGAAGATAATAGTGATGTGACACTAAACATATCAAACCAATCTAACATGAGTTTGAAATATCCCTGATTATGTGTTGACAACCTCTAACAAGAGAAAAGACTACAATACCCTTTTGACCATTAAATGCCTCCCACAATAAACATCTCTCAGTGGATATGCAAAGGTGACTCGGTGTCAGCATGTATATAAGAGATATAAAGTGATAACGATCTTCCTATACATGATAAGAAAGGCTTACAAGGTTTAAAAGTACCTTCTCATATGATTGTTTCTTCAAACTCTGCAACTGCGCATAAGCTTCTTGGCGAATGTTATCTGCAGCTTTGAACTGGGACAATAATTTGTTTTAACTTTATGCTTCATCGTGATATTTTTTCTTAGCAGCCTTAGTGACTGCCTCAGCCTTCAAGAGATTGACTTTCAATTGGTCTGCTTTCTTCTTTAAAGACTGTAAACGCAGAAGAATTGAACAAGCAATAAAAAACAGTATTAACACAACAAAACAAAGATGAATGGTTCCAACAGCTAACAAAGAGTATATCATCCAGTTTCGTATCTGCTTACAGGTGAAGTTCTATTTGTGTAATTATTATTATATCTAAAATTATGTTCAGATTACGATATCATAAGTGATTTTTTTAAAAAATTAATAATAAATAAAACACTTCTATATAATATTTTTTCACGTTAATGAAAACAGAATTATTTTTTCTTATATTACTTAAGTTATAAGAATGTGTGAAAATGTAAAAAAAAAAAAAAAAAAAAAAAAAAAGCAAAAATTGTTTCAATTTCCATGTTAAGAGTTGGGAATTAGGAGTGAGAATTAAGTAAACGTGTTTGGAAAATAATAAAAATATATGGGATTTTAGTCATATAGATTCATAGCACATGTTTCTTACATAAAATAAAGGTCAAAACATGTTCCCTTTGAGAGAAAATAAATGTTTGGCATCCAAGCAATCTTCCCCGTTGTCAACTGGAAAATGGACAACAAAAAAAAAAAAAAAGAAACACACACCATGTTGGGTTACAATTTAAGTTGCATCCTCACATGAATCCACGGGAATTTTTTTTTTTTTTTGTATAAAAGAATCGAAAATTTTCACATTCACTTATGAAAGTTAAAAATTTTAATAAAAAAAGTTATCCTTTTAAAATTTAACTTACCATGCTCATAATCCACTTATAAAGGAAGACAGATTAATATTGTTCATATCCAAATGTTCAGGACCAAAACTTTAGCATCCTACATTTCTGGCTAAAACTTATGCAACATGATGCAGAAAGGGCTAAGATTAAACCTGCCATTGTACATCCATGGAGGAAATTCAAACATCAACTGTCATCTACCAAAACTCAAAACTAAAAAGAATGTGTTCATCTAGGGTACCAAAATTGAGGCTTCGGCTGAACAACATTGCATTTTATCTCAGAGAATATTCTGTGGCATGGATCAAAGTGCAGAACAATAGGTATCATGGCAAGGACAATATCCATTGACATGCATTGATTATCATGTTGAAGGTTGCCATGTTCCTGGCTTATAGGATGCACCGGATCCTGTTGGCTCAGAAGACCTCAAAAAAAAGTTAGGAGGATAAAAGTAACCATAATTCGTCGCAGCAAAAATAGTAAGAGAACATATCTATAAAGTTGGCTTGGTTGTTTTGCATATAATATTTTCCAAAAGGATCTGACGCTTACTCTGGAACTGGTTTTCCTTTCTCTTCCCGTGTCTCCTTGGTCCTACAGATATGAGCTGTGATGTTAAAGCACAGAGAGTATCGACTATCGAGCAATTTTCATGACATGACAAAAAGAAAATCAAATCAGTCAACTACAAATTATGCTATGCCTATACCTTTTCTGCCACACATCATTTCTATAAAAGGTAATCGAAAAGGCGAAAGATTTCTTCATCAGCTAGAAAAATAAAAACTGGGAGGAACAAAATAGAGGCCTAAAGTGAAAAAGAAACAGTAAGGCAGAACCAAGTAGGAAATAAAAGAACATCAAGTGGGTCTGGAACACTACTCATTAGTGCAGTGAGAGTTAAAAAGAAAGGAAATCCAGCATGGGAATCAGATTAGGAGAAAGATAAGCCACTGTGACAAACAATTCAACAAGCTGAAATTTAATTGCTTCAACTCTCAGCAATGTTTTGTTCATGTTAGAGAACGGTTTGAGTAACCCACCTTCCATCTCTTGCTTGTTCAACTTTGTCACCTGAGAGTAAAAACACTCAGAATGAAAACATCATCAGCATCAGAGCTTCAATAAATTAAAATGATCAAATTTTACAACAGATTAACAGTTCAGTAAAAGAATATAATACCTTCTAAAGAAGATGGAAATTGTCGAAAGAAGCTTTTCAAGTCTGGACCTTCAATTTTACATATAAGTTACAGTACAGTTATCAACAATTGGACAAGCAAAAATAGGAAATGTAGATGAAAGGACACAAGAGCAGCAGTTAACCAAAGCTCATAGCCTTCTTACTGCCTTCTCTGACTTTCCTTTCCTCTTCTTCCCTTTTCAAAACTTTTCAAAAAAAGATAGGCAAGACAAATCTCTATCAGAAAATAGAGCAGCAGAACATGTAAAGCGATACTACTAATAATACATACAAGCAACATTAAGCCTAACATGTTCACGTCTTGCTTCTAGCTCCATTATTTCCTGAAGATAGAAATAATAAACCATCAAATCAGAGTTGAAATCATTCCAGCAGGATACCTTACCAGAAATACTTGTAACCAAAGTAAAAGTCTATGGTACCAAAATGTTTGCATCAAGTACGTTGTCTATTTAGGAGATATTTATGCATTTGAATGTAAAATCCTGCTTCACTTTTATCTTTTGATGAAGGAAAGTTTTGCTGCTTTGAAAAGCAGAGGGAGAAAGGCACTATCATACAATGAAATATGTTTTTAGTTACCTCTAGAGTAGGAGCTATCTTTCGCTGCCCATTCAACCAACATATCCATTCAACTACAGCAATCAAATTGCAAGATATAATAAGTATTGGAAACAAACAATGCAGTTTATGCTATTGGTAGTTTTTAATGTGCAGCTTGTTAGTTACTTTTGTGTATTTCAGTCTACTTTATGCTAGTATGCTTAAAAAGTGTAAAAAGCTTACCAGGGATGAAGGTTGGATCTTGCTCTCGTTTGAATTCCACCCATCTTTTCTCCTTTACTAGTACATCAATGAAACTATAATGTCAGAGAAACTTCATAGTAATGGCATACAAAATTCTGCATTATTTACAAATAAGGCGTTCTTGCCCCCTTCTTTCTCTTTCATTCCTCTTTCTCCCTATTCAAAAGTTGAAACCTCATAATCGGGATAAACATACCCCATTATTAACTTCATACTCAGACCAGTACCTTGGATCAAAATGGCATCATAGCTTTTTAACTTCCATAAAAACCAGACTGAAACTCCATTTCAACCACACAAAATAAAGAGCAAAGTTTTCTCTAGCACCAAATACAATTAGAGCTATTTACCGTCCTATTACGTCCATGAATTTAGGTCTTCAAGTATTCTCCTATATTATTTCATAAACGAAGAGCTAATCTCCAAACAAATCAAATCGCACCCACAAGAGTTGATAACAGGAGATTTCAAATATCCGATTATAATTATTGGCAACCACTAAGAACACAAGATGCAATCCAAAACTTACATGTTTAATACAATTCTTGAAAATCCCAGATGGAAAATCCATAAATTCAGATAGAAATCTCCATGAAACCAAAGCAAAAGGTTTTAAAGAACAAAACTTTAACACGAAGGAAAAAATAAAATTCAAAGAACTAATGTCTCTGCAAAACCCACATAGAAAATGCAAAAAACAGGATCACTAACAAACACCCATATCCATTAAAAATGAAAAACTTGAAAAAGAAAAGGAAAAGAGACCCACTTACGAATACCATCAATCTCTTCCTTTCTAGTGAAGTAACGGTTCCCAGCTTTGTCTACACCTATGAATGTTCTGTCGCTGAAGAACCCAGCAATTCTTGCAAACAGCTTTGACATCTCTGGTTCTAACGCTGCGCTCTTTTGGCTTTTGGTAAGTTCAATTAAGGACTTGCGACATTGGAGATTGAAGGTGGCAGAGGCGCAGAGCAGCTCAAACGACATGTCGTTTTGCGTCTTAGGTTCTTATACATGTGGAAGTCGCGTGTGCTGTCTCTTTTTTTTGGGCTGCGTTTGTTACAACTTTATAGTTAATAAGTCCAAAAAAAAAATACAAAGTAAAATTTTGTAATCTTGGTTGACTTAATTTTGGCTTCTTTTGGTGCGTTTTTATTTAAATATCTTTATTTTACAAGCACACATAATATACTTTATAATAAAAAAATAATAACATGAATGACTTAAATTTTAATTTAATTAATTAATATAATTATATTTAAAAAATTATATTCAATAAAATTAAAATTAAAATTTTAATATTTATAATTTTTTTATTTTCAAACTAAAACTTTTTTATAAAAAATAATAACATGAAAAAAAAAATTCTAAAATGACATTTTGTGTACAAAAATATGGTTTTTTCATTAGATATAACTATTAATTAATTTAGCAAAGAAAGTACAATTTATTAATTTTTAAGTAAAATGGAGTATTAAAATTGCGTAAATTAGAAAATTTGGAACACATCAATTTTCATTAATAGTAAATAAAAAAAATAGTTGGGGTTGGGCCAAAATTTCAATTAATCTAATCACTAAGAGATTGCAATGATCCAAACAGAGCCTAACAAAAACAGAACAATGTCTAGATTGTTCCCCACATCATTGTCGTTCCATTCTATATCCCATCACTTTGGAACTCACTTTGGTCTGACCGTACAAACTGTGAAGTAAAGAACTCGAAAGTGAAGTAGCTTTTCTAAGTGATCATCTTAATTACCAAGTAAGTTTAAAATCAAAACCCTGCAAAAAACCCTCTTTTAAACCAATTTATTCTTCAATTCTACCAACTTGGATCTCATCAAAACCTTCAAATTCCAACAAAAATCTACTCTTTTATCAATTTATCCAAAACCCATTTCTCCAAATCCCTCAAATATAACCCCCAAGAAGCCTCTCTCAATCTCCTTCACCATTCCAATTCAAGCAATGAAGAAACACTCAAAAACACTCACAAAAATCACTGAAGCAATGAAGCTGGTGGCAGCTGCAATGGCCAGGAGAGCTCAGGAAGCTGTCATCAATGGTAGGCCATTTACTGAGCCTTTAGCTGAGTTCCTTGACACCATGAATGGAAATCTACAACGTGAACTGAAGATATTGATTGTCCTTTAATTGTTATTAGGCCTGTAAAGGAAGTAGCTATAGTTTTTATAGCTGGTGATGATGGTCCTTGTGGTAGTTTCAACAGTTTTTTCGTCTCTTACTCTAATAAACAACTGAAATCACGTGGCTCAGTCCAACAGCGGTCCATGAATTTCCCGCCCTGCCCTCTTTCAAAGCCCTAAACTTTCTCTCTCTTTCTTGCTCAGCCCTAATTTGCTCCAATTTCCCTCCCTTATTTTCCCGCCTCTCAAACACATCTCTTTTTTATATGAACCCAATCTTTCATTTCCAAAAGAAATTCCATTTATGCATCTAAAAATTCCCAAAAACTCCAGATGAAACCCATTTCAAGATCCTCCAAAACTGAAGCATTCCATAAGTATCTAAAGCCGGGAGCTTTAGCCCAATTAAGAGACTTCAAAATCAATGCCAGATCCAACAAAATCAACGCAGGCCGACTTGATTCAGTTCCAACTCAGATTCCAAGCCAAACCCAGATCCAAATTTCAGATTTTGATCAAATCCCAAGGTTCCTCAACAAGATTTATGGAGGTCCATGTTGTCTTCAAAGGAAGAAGCTTTTGGCTTCCAAATCTGTTTTGCTGGTCAATTTGGAGAATTCCGGTCAAAGTTTAGAGTCTAGGGAGAATAATAATAGGGACGGTAGAAGTAATAGAAATGGTGAAAATTTGTTGATAAATTTGTTAGATACTGATGTTGTTGTTGCTCATTGAATCAAGTGATCAATAAAAAGAGATGGGTTTTCTTTGCTTTCTCTTGTAAAGTTGCTTCCGTTTTGTGAAACTTGATTCTCTATAGCAATTGAATGTTGTGGAAAGTTCTGTTTTATATTTTTGAGATTAAAATCTCCAGTAATCCAATTTGTCTTATCAGGTCTGCCTATGCTGCTTTATGATTCATAGTTGAGAAGTTACTATCTAGCAATATTTCTCTTGTTTAGCATCAATTACAAGATGATCTAATAAAATTGCATGGTGAATGAAGAGAAATTTGGGAATTAGAACTAACTACATATTGATTTAAGGGGGATCTACAACCGAAGCTTTTTAGTTGAAATTTAGCTTAATCTTAGCTGAATGTAGCCTGAATCACTGAATGTGAGTATGAAGAATTCTGCATTTCGTACTGCCAAAGTTTATATACAGCTTTGCTGAAACTAGACAATGAATGGAGTTCACAATCTCTATAATTTTTCTCAATTGAATGATTAGAGAGGCCTTTATATTTATATCATTATCTTGGATCATGTTCTTGTCTTCTGATCCCTTCAGTTGAAGGTTGAGATGCTAATTGTTGTTTCATAACCTGTCTGGTCCAAACCTTCACATGGCTCTTGGTTTACTAGTAAATTGTTTTGGTAACTCAGACCAGTCGTTTGCATCTATTTTATTCTTGCTTCTTATCTTTCATAGCTAATTAATGAGACCAATCATGAACAACGATGATCTAACTAATCTAAATTGCTTCTTTTATAATTTTAGCTTTGACATGAAGGTTTAGGCGATGATAATTACATATTGCTTGGTAGTTGTTTGAATGTGGCAACAGTAGCAGTGTTTCTGTCAAGCCTAGAAAGGAAATTAACAGCGATTCATCGATTAACTCAACATTAATTCATTTTCTCCTTAAGTAGTGAATCATGTTTGAAAGGGAATTATTGTGCTGAAGGTGGCGTAATGTTGTACGAGGATGAAAGTTCATGACGAATAGTCAAGATCGTAAAAAATATATTCTGTTCCAGATTTATCCATTCTTTTTATATGACACCATAGCATTACCCTTCTGAAGATTCTGAACTCTAATTTCATCCATTTATATGGAAAAACATATGGAAGAATTTGCTGGTATGAATTTGTTAAAAGATTTGAAATGCTCTTTCTTTCATTTTGAACCAGGTTTAAGTTTTTGGACTTTAATAGATATGTTTTATTTCTTTGATATTTATGCAATTCAAGTGAGCATCTGTTCTGCTCTGCTGGAGCAAACTGTTACTTATGGCCTATAGGATTCAAATAAGAAGTTATGGAGTGTGCCATGCTGATTGAAGGAGGTTTATCACCAGATATATTAAAAATTAATTGCATGAAGCGTAAATGCTACCCTTATTATCACCATTTGGAGAATCCTGTAATTGTTATTGGAGAATGCAAATGCATTTGCTTTTCCTCCCAAATAAACAATGAAGTCTCAATGTTTCTATCACTGTCTCAGATCTTGTTAACCCGATAGTTTGCATCCAAAACGATGTCCTTCCTTACCTGTTATGAACAAAACTTGTCATTGGCCTGTGTTTGCTAATTGTTTATCAGTAACTGAGATCTAATGATCTATCATTTATTGAACGTCACTTTAGTTTTCTGAGCTTACAGCTAGCTATCATGCATCTATATCTCCAGAATATCAAGTTATAAATTGAAATGCCCCATGCACTCTCTGGCAGCAAGTAACAAAAAGCGATGAGATTCCTGGCAAACATGTGCTTTCAGTAGGTCTTAAATGTTTTTAATTTGAGATTTCTGGTCTTAATTGAGGACCCTAGTAGCTTTGTAACGAACCATTTGACAGGGTTAGTTTGTTTCATTGTTTGTACTGAGTTTCTAGTTCTTCAAACCTTTATGCTGATCCTGTCTGAAACATAACAAGTTCATTTTATGCATCTGTTGTTCTTAGTAAGTTTGATCAGCTGAGTCAAACCTGACTATTCTGTCAAGTATTCTGATGTTGGAAGGAAAAAATGCCCTCTAGAACAAATATGATATCGACTAAATCCTAAAGATAGCAGTGTTCCAGATTGCAGGAAATCAAGCATATCAACAAAGAATAAAATCATAGGTTGAGTTGATCAGATTGATGCAATGATCATTCTGCTGCATTTAAGAATGGTAGATGAAAGGTTGTTCTTATCCTAAAATCTTTCACATTTCACTCATGATTGCTCATTCTCTTCCTCTTAGCCACGTAAGCTAATGTCTTGGCTATAAACAGTCCTGGTTAACAGGTTAAGTTTTGGCTCACATGGGGTTTTCTTCCTTTGAAATTGATGGGAGGTCAATGTGATGAATATTCATAACAGGGAAAATATTTTCCTTGCATGCTATTGGCTTTCAATTTTGCCGACTTCCCCTTGTCTATACTGTTCCGTTGATTGAGCCTGATTCACCTTAAAAGCCTGATGTGGTTAGGAGTACGATAAGACATTGATGCTGCTTTTCCCTGGATTTTCAATAGGCACTATTGTTTTTTCTTTAAAAGTCACAGCAAGATTTGAATTTTCTCTTTTATTTTGAGCACTATATATATTAATCATTGAAACAAATGCTCGTTCGTTGAATTCGATCTATCATTTGGTTACAGTAGAAGGCATAAGTATCAATTCAATTGACAGTTGACATTCTAATATTGCAGCAGGGATTTGCAGTTGTTTTCCTTTACAAAGCAAGATTTCTTTTAGAGACAAATCTATGATTTAGCCATTTCTCATTCACTGTATTCTCACTTTCATGGCAATCATTATAAAATAATTAATCTTCTAAAGTTGTCGAAATCCTAAAAATTCAAAATTGTCACGTTCATGATTAAATTTATATGAAATTTTTGATAAATATCATTTTTTTCTCGATAACAATTTAATTTTTTCATAAAATCACTCGTAATTTTTTATAATTCATAATTAAAAATAATCACGACTGTCTAATCTTAATTTCTTTTAATCAAACATGCATGCATTCTTTGAGACATAATTATTTTCAAATTTATAATGATAAAAACATGCACTTTGCAATGTGTGACAATTGTAAATTTTTTTTTTGTCTTATGGATTATAAACGAAGCTTAAAAACTTAATACTCTCAATTTGG